CCCTTCCCTTCCCTTCCCTTCCCTTCCTAAATTCTTTTTATTCTTTTTCTTTTCCCTCCATTCTGAAAGAACATGAACTATTGGACACAGATTAAATGAAAATGTTGAACAATTCCTTCCTTCTCAAAACAAATATAAAATGCATATATACAATAATAGAGACTTTATATGTAGATTTGTGTCACCCACAGCCACTTCTGTCACCTGGATCATTGCCACCATTGTTGCTGGCCTGGGATTTATATTCAATATTGAAGGAATCCTGCAGCTACGATTTGAAATACAATTCCAAAAACATTGTGGAGTCCTCTCTAGTTATATGGGGTCAAATTCACTCTGGGTGAATTCTCTCTTATAAAAGCCGTGGTGATAGAGCAGGAATCGTTGTGAGCCAGACTATTATGAACAGTATGATGAGGACAATTAAAGGACATAGAAGCTCCTGTCTGCTTGATCGAGCAGATTTAAGTGTTTCAGTGTATTTGATGGCAAGTGAGTCTGATTATTCTCACACACCAACAGCCACGTTTTAGATGTTGCTCCCTGTATTCACTGCCCATATTTTGCTGAGTTCTTCTCCAATATCCATTGCCATTCCCATTTTGTCTGCAGAATTTGATAGCATCAGTCAAATTCTCCTCCACAGCAGAAGCTTTACCACAGCTTCTGCCACACAACTTAAGATTTACTGGCCTAATACAGATAAATGCATATTTCAAATGCTTTGAGGTACCCTCAGTCCTAATAGCCTGTGGTCATATGGAACAGCAGTGCTCACTGCTGCGATTTTACGCAAACATCCACTGCCCTCAAACACTGTCATAAAGTAAAGATGTAACTGTGTCCTTTTCGGCTGCAAAACATAGTTTGAAATATTAGGAACATGGAGTACAGCTGTCAACAGTGGCTCTGCCAAGGCCTTCATCCCTTCGCGAGGCTGCGGTTCTGATATCCTGTCAATCTGGTAGCCACAGAAAAGGCTTTTTTCCCTACGAAAGCATCACTTGGCCAGCAGCCAAACACTCAGCTCGCTCACTGCCTCCCTCCCACAGGGAATAGGGCAGAGAACTGGAGGGGTAAGGGAAGGAGACTCGTAGGCTGAAATAAAAACAATTTAATAATAGAAATAAAATAAAACTCATAATAATTATATTAAAATAGTAATGATAATAATAATAAAATATGCAAATGAACGATACACAGTGCAATTGCTTACCGCTTGCCAATCGAGCCCGGCCCATTGTCAGATAACGATCCTGGAGGAGTGACAATCCCAAAACTGAAACCACAATCCTGGAAGAGCAAGAGCCCAAGCAAGAGCCAGAGAGAGAGACCCTCATTAACGTACTGAACATGGTGTTATACGATATGGAATAACCCATTGGCACATCCAAATGCCAATCTGGATTACTAATTTTAATATTCCTTGCTCTCCTCCTAGACTCTGCACCCTCAGACTAGCAAAATATGAAGTCCTTCAACTTCCAGTGAAAACTGAAAACATTGGGATGTTATCAACATTCTTCCCATAACAAACCCCATGCTGAAACCAAAACACAGCACCATTCTAGCTACTAAAAATAAACCTAGCTCTGTCCCAGCTAACAACCAGGACACTGTGTTAACATCAGCCCCTTTCTTCTAACCCTGGCCTTCTCCTGGCCACATCTGCACTCAGGAGGCTGCTTGTCAATGACACCCTCATCTGACTCTGCTCCGCTGCCCTTTGCAACCCGTTTGGGACAGTCTCCCTGGCTGCTGCCTTGTACCAGCTGATGGGCTGAAGACAGTGCTGTGTCTGCCCCACCACTGTAACTTTTCCTGAGTCGAGCTGGAAAGGGTTTATCACTGCACACTCCATACAGCCACAGAGGGGTTGTGGAGCTGACATCTCGCGCTGAAATCTTGTCTTCGTTTGACCCTAGAGCCTTACTGCTTGTTCGCAGGCCTTGGATTTCTACAGTGTTCCTCACAATCAGGTTTGCCTGGGCATTACTGTAATATGAATAAAATATTATGCCACAGTAATAGAAGTAAAATATTACACAAAAAATAATTTCTCTTACAAATCCATGATTTAAGGATGGGCCAATCTACTCAGTGTTGCAGCTCAAGTACCAAATTTGATGAAGAGGGAAGCTGAGTGTAAAGCAACAAATTTCCTTCCAAGAAGAGGAACATGTTTGCTTTCTTGAAATGTGAAACTTTAATCTTAGAAATGAAAAATTAATTTTGTGCTCTAGCTTTCCTGTATGACTTCAAGTCACCTGGTCTTTAGCATTTTGCTTAAAGTATACTTTGTCACATGGGAAAGGAAACGTACTGAGGACACGTGGTTATTTTTCAGGACTATTTGCATGTCATTCTCTGTAAAAGCAGTGAGGTGCAGTTGCACCTGAAACCACTCCTGTGGATTGTTCAATCAATTTGAAAATCAAGCGCATAGGTGCATATTTAAAGAAGATTTGTGGGGGTTTTGCATTTAGGCTTGTATTGGAAACTAAAATTTTAACCTGGTTTTCATGTTTTCTTTCCATCTAAAAATATTGTAGAAAGAACATGGACTACATCAATCTGAAGAATAACCATCAACTAATGGAAACAAAAGAACTTGTTGGCTCTTCACAAGTCCTCAGAAACCAGCAGCTGCCTCTGGATTGACTCTCTCCTAGTAGTGTTATTAGGGCACATCCCTGATGTCTGAGAGTCACGCTCTTTAGACACCTAAACAAAAACTACACTTCAGTGTTGCCAAGAGTCAAAGTGATCTAGGAAACAAGGTTGTTGTCTTTGATTTGAAGCTTGTAACCCTAAATCAAATAGTCCATGTGAAAATGTTTTCCTAGCAACTTAAATCCAGGCACTTGTTTTTGAAAAAAAAATATCTCTCCATGTAATTAAGAGAGGAAGCTGACTCATGAGCTTTGCTTTTGCCACCTGAACTGATTGACTGCAGAAGAAACCTGGTTAAGCTGGTGCTCTGGCTTGCTGACTAGCAGGGTTGTTTTTGATCCATGGCCTCTGGTATTTGGATTATTTGCTTTCCCCTCTCTTAATCTCCGCGGGGAAACTTTCCCTTGCTATTTAAATATTAAATCCTCACTGTACTGGAATGTTGCAGTGTACTGCATACAAACAGAGATGCAAGGGCTCAGGATTTTCAGTGCAAACCAATTTTGAGTTCCAACTCAGAAGGCCTTTGTTCATTTGCTCATGTCTTTTGCTCGGAATTTTACAGGTATTTGAGGTCCAAAGACCCAGTAAGTACTGACACACATCCGAATCCTTTACTATGTGGACTGCAGCTATGCTTTCCCCCTTCTGGCAGCGCTGGCAGGACAGATGGCAACAGCAATCGTAAGACATCGTATCTACAGTTTTGATGTTTAAATACAGTTTGTCTTAACAGGCTCCAGACTGAAGTCAGCCCCTTTGAGCCTTCCAGATTATTACTCCAAAGATGCTGCAGTGCCTAGCTAGAAGAGAAAGGTAACATCATTCCATTCTTCAAAACACTATCTTGAAAAAATTAATCT